CACATGGCACCTGTGGGGAGTTTCTTGGAAAGATCAATTTCCTTTTGAAGCGACCCCTGTCAGGTGCCATGTTAGCGGGAGGGAGGGCAAAACATATTCGTTGCAGCCAATGGAAGAGATTGCATGGTTTCAAAGCCATCCGGTTCTTTGCTCAGGCAGCAGCTCTGCTGGCTGGAGCGCATATGCAATGGCTGTCCTGGCCCAAGTTGCTGGAGGTCAAACGCCACGTCGCCGGAGGAATCTCGCACAGAAAACTCTACGGGGGCCCGTTTTGCGGCGCCAGGGAATGGAAGAAGCAACCCGCGCCAGTCAGAATTCATATCATTTCAGTACGGCCAATCTTCTGCCAGCTTCTTTCAACTGGATATGCGCGTGTGATTTGGGCGCCCTGCTGCGTGAATGTTGTACATCTGGCGCTTGTTGACAGCTGACTCCCTAGTTCCTATCAAATTGGGAGCAGGCAGTATCAAACATTTCGCCCAAAGTGACAAGCGCCTGCTCAGATGTGACAGTTCTGCGGCATTTCGATTGAACTCTTCTTAAACAGATGTACAAAGCCAGTTCTTGCGGACCTATTACATGTCACTTGTTTCCGGAGGGGAAAAGAAACAAACACTCTAGGGGTACTTTCCCCATTCTTTCCAGGGATCCTTCTTTCTAGAAAACCTCCAGAAACCCAGGGAAAACACCTGGTCTTGGAAAAAAAAACAATGGTTGAAAAGAATGGAAAAGGAATCACCCCCTAGATTTAGGGCCCCCCCCCTAAACTGGCGGTTTTCCTTTTGGCTTCCTTTGAAAACCACCTGCATATTTGTTTCCGGAGGGGAAAAGAACCCACCACGTTCCCAAGTCCCCCCCCCCCCAAACGGTCCAAATGTCGGTGCCGATGTCGATGAGCAACACCTGCGCCACCGTCAGCGCCTGAGCGACACCGACGACGGTTTGGCGTGTGGGGAGGTAGAATGAGATACAGGTGTGGCTTTTGTTAGGGTACCCTCGTTTGTGTGGTTGGTTGTAAAGGAACACCAAGAGGAAAACCATAATTTTAGAGGTCCCAAAAGAAAACACAGCCATACCTGAACAAAAACATCTCAGCTGAACACAAGTCTGACGAGAAGCTGACAAAAAATCACAACTAAACACCGGCCTAGGCACAAACCAGCAAGGCGAGACTGGAAGCTCTCATGAAAGCCTAGCCCCTGCTGCCTCAATCTGTCTATCTTGTTGTGGACAAACCAGGTCCTGGGGCACCTGCAAGGCACCTTGCTCAAGCTGAGAAAGCATTCAATATTCTGTCTTGGCATAGGCTAGTCTATCAAACATACGAGTCCCATTCTGACTCAATTCTGCCTGCAAGGTTGGGCACCTGGCGTGTGCCCTTGCGCGGCAAGTGGCTTCAATGTGCTGTCTGCCTTTAAGGGAGGAAGGCACCCGACCCAAACCCCCAGGGAAAAGTTTGTAAACACTTGTTGAACAAGTCTTACAAGGCTGTCTGGAGAAAACGGGTCTCTTAATGTCTATCCTGATATTCATCGAGTCTGCCGTCGTTGTCGCCTCTGCCATGAGTGTGTCGTGGCCTTCACATTCGTGTAAAAATCACCTGCCTGGATGGGGTCCCCAGTCTTGAGAAAAACACACACCCCTCATTCTAGGGGTGGATGCCCCATTCTTTTCAACCATCGCTCTTTTCAAAAACCAGAACTGTTTCCCTGGAAGTCTGATAGTTTTCTGAAATCCCTAAGAATGGGGAGTGCCCCCTAGAATCATGAAAAATGAACCACACTTGATCCATGTAGTGATTGAAGGGAACCGGGACATGAATTTAGTCGAACCATGCGTTTCCCTCTCCGACTGTGCCATCAGAAAGCTCTGACGCCAGTATGTTGGTTTGTCTCTATGAGCAACCCCAGAGGTGTTGAGTTCATGCTTTTTCTTAAAACTTTGGGATCCTGCTTTTGACAGCTCAACAAGCTGACGTACCATAGGTGTCCCTGTTGGAAAATAGATGGCCCTGATGATTGAACCACCAGGTAAACCAGGAATCGCCCTCTATGTTTTGACCAAACCAACCAAAAAGGAGACCGTTGCCCCCATATTAATCAACCCCAGATCAATAGGGGGTGCACCTGGGTGAAATGTGGGGAATCAGACCACTTTTAGAGGGTACCCCCTATAAATCAACTGGGGTTGATTTATGTGGCCATGGGTCAAAACCCAAATCGTACCCCCAGTGAACATCCCACTCGAACCACCTAAAATAGGTTCTAAAATGGGTGGTGAATTCACCTACGTTCAACCAACATGGGATCCCGTTTAACGGGTTGGACAACCACAGCCACGTACCCCAACAGACTCCCGCGCCTGGGGAACCCCAAAGAGCTCTCCGAAGGTGGGCGCCACTTGGGGCACCTGCGGAACCCCGGTTTGCCCTCGCCAGGTCTCCAAAGCGCACGTACAAAGTGGCGACTTGAACCCTGAAAGTTCCCTGAACAATACTAGGTCCTCCAGATTGGAGAGCTTAGACAGAATAACTAGGTCCTCCAGATTGGAGAGCTTAGACAGAATAACTAGGTCCTCCAGACTGGAGAGCTTAGACAGAATAACTAGGTCCTCCAGATTGGAGAGCTTAGACAGAACAACTAGGTCCTCCAGATTGGAGAGCTTAGACAGAATAACTAGGTCCTCCAGATTGGAGAGCTTAGACAGAATAACTAGGTCCTCCAGATTGGAGAGCTTAGACAGAATAACTAGGTCCTCCAGATTGGAGAGCTTAGACAGAATAACTAGGTCCTCCAGATTGGAGAGCTTAGACAGAATAACTAGGTCCTCCAGATTGGAGAGCTTAGACAGAATAACTAGGTCCTCCAGATTGGAGAGCTTAGACAGAATAACTAGGTCCTCCAGATTGGAGAGCTTAGACAGAATAACTAGGTCCTCCAGATTGGAGAGCTTAGACAGAATATCTAGGTCCTCCAGATTGGAGAGCTTAGACAGAATAACTGGGTCCTCCAGATTGGAGAGCTTAGACAGAATAACTAGGTCCTCCAGATTGGAGAGCTTAGACAGAATATCTAGGTCCTCCAGATTGGAGAGCTTAGACAGAATAGCTAGGTCCTCCAGATTGGAGAGCTTAGAATCAGTTGGCAGCAACATTTTTCGGAGTTGTCGATTTTAGTAGGGGAACCCTCCCCCAAAGAAGGGTAAAAGGGCACTACTGCGGGACCTAGAGTAGGTTCTCGCCCCAATATTCTGGTTGGCGAAATCCAATTTTTAAGGGTGGTTTGAGGGTCCAGGCAGTTTCTTTCGCTTTCCCCTTGTCCATGGGCTTAGAATGCTGCAGGCAGAGGAGGCCAATGTTCTGGGATACCCCAAAACTTGCATGACAGCTAGTTTGAAGAGCGAATGGCAACTGTATACACACAGGGCAGCGTTCATGAATGTGTAGACTTCACTTGCTCAACGCCTCCGCCTGCAAAAAAGACCAAGGCATCAACGGACACACCTAGCTCGTTAGACATCTATCATGAGACTAAGAAGGAATCGGCTCGTGTAAATCTTACAATCAAGACGACAACACCAAGAAAGGAGGAAGCGGGCATGCGCTGCAGGAAGGCCACGGAAGGTTCACGGAGTCTCTCAAAATAAGGTCGAGTCCCAAAATGGGACCGCCAAATGCGGTGGCGCCGTCTTTTGTTTCTTCTCTATTTTCTAAATGAGTAGCTATTCAAAAGACGCACACTCTTTGATGTGAGGACTTTGGGTCAAGTTGCGACGTCAACAGCAGAACCGGCACTTTGAGGGCTTCAGCTGTTCTTAGCAGATCAAAAGCTGAAAATCAAGGAGTCTTACCAGGACCTCCTTCCAATCATGGAGAACATCATTGAAAGAGGAGGGCAGTTTTCTGAAATTCTCCCATCAAAGCTTGGGTCTGAGCCAGCCCGTCTGTCCTCAAAAAGAACACTAAAACAGCACATGGGCGTGTCTTACACTGAAATCGCAAGAAAAAAAGAAGAAAACCAAAACACCATTTTCGGGGGTCCAACCACACACACACACACGGTTCAACGGGCCCTGAATTTGACATGGGATCTGGTTTCGCCGGGTTTCGCCGGGGCCTTTGAGCAAAGGGTGTACATGATGGACTTCTGCAGGTTCTCGCTCGAGAGGCGTCCTGCACATGCCGCACTCACCGACCAGGTCCTCTGGTCTCAGGGTCGGATATTCAAGATCAGCCTCACTTCCTGAGCTTGGCCGGGAAAAGTCTGAACTTTCTTGCTCACTAAAACGGCCTTGCCAAAAAGTTAAAAGTCCATTAACTCAGGAAGTGAGCAGGACCTGCGCTCTGAGATCAGCATGACAGCTTTGCATCAACTGAGTGTGGAAGCAAGGTGTGCCAGCAGAGGTTGGAACCAGCGTGAATGTTTGTCTGACAGTTGCAATACTGCGCCAAGCAATCATTGTCAACTCAAAGAGACCTCTTCTGTGCATGCCAACTGCTTGCAAGCGAGACTAAGCGCACACCATATGTAACCAAGCATGGGTCCCAATTCTAACTATGGCATATGGGTGTGCCTTTGTGGGGACCCCAAAATGGGGGGGGGGGTCCTTTACCTTTTGGTTGCCCTTTCCAACCAAAAAGGGGTTTCCCCAAAAAGGACAAACCCATATTTTTGGGGAAACCCATATCCTGAAACAAAATCCACCAAGCGCTTCATACCACTGTCCTTGCTCCATACCCTTGACAACCGAGGAGAAGTTGTCATCGTGCAGCACGATGTCCGCAGCATCCTGACGGCCATTTCAGCAACTGCAACTGCATTGGCAGAAATCAAAGAAAAACGCAACACAAAGCCAACATTAAATGCCCGAGTATCCATATACCATTCACACATGTCATCCTGCTAGGTCCTCAAATGACTGACGCCAGTAGCAAAACTTGGTCATGATTCACTTGCTGGCTGGCTGGCTGACTAATTGACCAGATTCAGTAAGTTGCAGCGCACCATGCGGCCAACGATGTCAGTGGCAGTTCATCAGAAGGCGCCGAATGGACATTCAAATGCGAGCAATGGGCTGTCCTTGCACAGATTGGATCTATTCGCATCTTGAGCCAAGGGGCAAACAAAAAAGAAGTGCTGTTTACAACGAGTACACAATTGCATGCGTTCTAGAACAGACAACATCATTTGGTCCAAGCACGGGGCGCCGTCGTGACTCCTTCAGAATCAGCTTCCTTGGAAGTGATTTGAATTGGCTGGGTGAAACGGAGGGTTTCCCATCCCACAAGAGCCAGCGGTCCAACGCTCCAAACCGCCGGGCTCCCCTTCGCGCCAAGGGGGGGACCTGACCATAAGAGTCCTTGAGCTTGGTGTTCGATATGTCAGGCATGACATCTTTAACGTATCTCTAAAAGCTCCACGTTGGTGCCCAAGAATTCCCAAAAACCAACAGCAACCAACCGCATGGATGTGTCACTTTTTTTTGGGGGGGCCCTTCCAAAACGGTGGGTTTCCGTTTTATGGCTTCCCTTTAAACCCCCCGAAACAAGCCCCCTCAATTAGACACCCCAGAGGTTGGGGGTCTCAAAACCAGGTTGTTTTGAAGGCCCTAAATCAATCAGGAGCCTCTGGGAAAGGAGTAAAAGACGTCAAGGCCACGACGTCTTAAGCGCGGAGTGAGTCCTTGGCCACCTCTGTGCCACGCTGGCCCATGGCAACTCCCACCTGAAGGCGAGCGATTTCGAGTGCACAGGAAAACCGGCCCAGTTAAAGTCACGTTTACTGTATTCTGAAACATAGATTCGATATAACGTCTGAGCACTAAGGTAGGTTGGTCGGCTTTGATGGAACATATTACGAACCCTGCGCACTGGCATGACCAATCCGACCTCTGTGTCAGCTTGAGAGTCAATTGACCCAAACGACAGTAACCTGTTTTTTAGCTTTGCCGCTAAACTGGTCCAAAACCAAAAAGCTTCAAGTCCGGAATGGAACTCAGGGAGTGAGGAACTGCTGTACTTGTCGGCTTGTGTCGATATCACGATACGTTTCTTTGTTGTGATTTCATTGACCCATGTGACACACCAACTTGAATTACAAACGTTCAGGCATTGAACTCCTGTTGACACACGCCACTGTACAGCTGCGGGCGTTATTGGTCTGACAGAGTTTGCACCCCAGCCCTTTCTTTGCACCCCACCTCTGCTTGCTTCAGAGCAGGGGCGTCATTGACGCCATCCCCTGTCATAGCCACGACATCGCCAATGCCATTGTAGCCATACTTCTGGTAGGCCTGTGGCAGGCGGTAAGCTTCAGGTTGGCCTCTGGTTGCTGCAACAAAAGCGTGCAATGGGTGTCATGCTGAAGGCCTGACAATGGCCGCCCCAAACAAACCCCGAGCAAGAAGGTCTTTTGACCATGGCTTGCATACATGGAAGCGAAAAGGGGTTCGCGTTTACTTTGGCTTCCGCCCCAACGCCATGTCGAATAAGTAATTTGCAACGCGGAGCCGAAATGACCAAGAGCATGCCGCCTTCCTTCCCACAAAAGCCAATAACAATGTTGCTCTTCCACCAAAGGGTCCTCTTCACCGCAAACTTTCTGAAAATAGGTCACCTTTTCAAAAGTCAAGAGCCTAATGTTGGGTTTGTGTCCATCCCCCATCTCTCCCCATGTGAGCCTGCACAATCACCTGCTTGTGGATGGGCGATACCCGCGCGAAGACCCGGGTGTGCTGAACAGCCTGGCCGAGCGACTTTTTTCTCCGGGGCTCGCTGACTTGCCCGGTGGCTCAGCGCACCCGGATCTCATGGAAGCCATCGTGTGGATTGGCCGAAAAAGGTAACCAAACTTTGAGTTTTCTGGTTTGCCACTAGAATGGTCCAATCCCAGAAAGTGCCTAAAGTCAAAAAAACTCGGGAAGTGAGGGATCTTCCAAAAACACTTTGAAAAGGGGGGAAATTGGTGTCACTGGACCTGGACTGTTTTCGTTACAAGGCGCGGTTGGCGTAAAACATCTGGGATCGCCGGTCTAGGATGCTAACCACGTGGCCCTTAGAAACGAGAGAACAAGATCAAGTCTGAATCACCCGGATTGTCCTGAAAGCACCGGGTTGACCATGCAAGGGGGCAAAGTAGAATGATAAAAAATCTGCCGAATGGCATCAAGCTACAAACTCACACAAGAGTTTCGCGAAGCAACACGGGACATGGATGCGGTGCCATGCCAACTGACAACAATACAGCGCGCGCAGACACACGCACTTCCATCGGACATATGCAGTACGGCGCACAGCACAATGCATGTGCGATACGGTCTAGCAACATTCCTTCTTTACCGGACTCATGTATCGTCCTGGTCAACTGTACGTGTACATGAGCTGTACATCAGGTCAACAAATCATGCACATTCCATTCCTTCAGCCCAGCTGGCAAAACGCCAGAGGGAATAATGGTACTCTCTTGGACTGTCGTCCGTCCATCCTTCCTCTGCATTCCGGATGCAGGAACGGCACAGATGAGGGCGTAGCATGGCTTCTGCACCAGCTAAAGTCTCTTGTTTGCAGCCCATGGAAACGGAGGCTGTCAAGTCATGATACTGTCAGATTGGCCAGGGGCCCATTGAAATTCTTGGCCAACTCCCATGCGATTGTCTTCCTTTCATTCCTGAGGGACTAGTCAGAAATCGTCCCAAATCTCTATGTTTGCCACTAAAGTGGTCTTCCAAAAAAAGACCATTCCATGAACTTGGGAAGAGAAAAACGAGTCTCCAATCAAATCTAGTCCCCCTGTACCTGTTGCAAAAACGTTGCCAAAAGCTATTGCACCGCGCCTTGCGCCACCATTTCACATTGTCCTCTGGCTCCTCATCCGTGAAGTTGTCCCCCTTGGGTATCCTGCTGTCGAGCATCACCTTGGCCAACATGGGCTGAAAGGGACACTTCACAGGCCAAGTTCGGGATATCTGCCAAGTTGGAACCCGTTGGCTGAACGTCATGGTTTGACGTTCAAGTCGCATAACACACGCATCCATCCGCATGTTCGCCCCCAAATTCAGCATATAAGTGCTGATTCTCCACGAACCAAAGTTGGTACAGCCTGACATGCGTGCTACCACTTCCCATACCCTTCCATTAAACATGAAACCTGAGGGGGTCAGCTAAAGACAATTTCAGGCCCATGTCTGTTGTCCGGGTTCCTTGGCAACGACACGAGGTACTCCACAGCGCACGGATGTCGCACGTTTTTTTCCTCAGAAGTGGTTCTCCCTTACCAGATCAGCATACTGCGCTTCTCGTCTCTCCGGCTGCACTTTCTTCTGGGGAGCCAAGATGGACAGCCCAGCCTGACGTCAATGGGGGTGCTGTTCTTCAGGTATCCCCCATTCCAGGGTTGTTTCAAAGCGAAACCAAAAGGAAACTATGGCCATCTAGTTATTTGGTTTGGGGGGGACTGATATTTCGACACACCGCATGAAGTTTGTGTTGAGTGGTGAACTATGGTGCAATCAGAGCCCTGCTCAAGAAGCAACCTGACTGTGCGTTCCCCAGCAGGTCTGGAACTTTTCATTAATTTCCCCGGGTTGATTCCTCATTCTTTTCAATCATCGTTATATTGTTTTTAAAGGATCAAACCCCCGGGTTCTCCGAGAGACTTCAGAACTTGCCGTATGTCGGCTCTGTGGGGCGGGGCGATTGGGGGGGGCTCAACATGACAACGTTCATGGGCAGAAGCAAGCCACTCGCCAAGTCCTCATGTGTGCTTTGACCCGTTCTTTACAGTATTTTCAGCACACGAGGCTCGAAGAGACCTCGTACCACCTCAGTGACTGCGCACGGACTTGCGCTGCAGAAGTCCCCGTCAATCTGCATGAACGAAGAGGCCGGGATCAGTTGCGGACTTCATGCACATTGGCGGTTCCCTGCGTTTCCGGGGGGTTTGTAAGGGGAAAAAAAATATATAATAATTAAAATAAACTAAAAACGCTTAGACACTTCTCTCATCCAAGCAGCAAAGTGAGGCACCAGTGGCAACACATTGCCCCAACTTCGGGAAAATACAGGGACAAGAACTGGTTGATGTAAATGAAAAAGCTACGCAGGAATCACGAGCGGCTGAAACCCCTTCCTCATGGCCAATGAAAAGGTCAACGCATAGACCGCTATTTGACACCAAGTGCTGACAGACTACGTACATATCTTGCAACTGAGATACAACGTGAAACGATTGAATGCGGCTGCTTATGGTCAATGTCAGATAGCGATTCACAAAGGGGGAGGAAAACCCAGACTTGTTTTCAAATCAGCATGTTCCGTCACCTAAACATGACAGCGGATAAGAACAAACAAAGACTAATGTTTTTTGTTTTCCCCTCCGATAAACATGGACATAACTGCCCAAGCCATGGTTGAACACAAAGCCCTGGCAAACCAAGCACAATACTAATTCATCTCAAAACTAATGTTAGATCAATATCAACCAATACGAACCAGGTTAAACCAATACTGGGCAACACCAAACCACTACCAAGCCAATACGCAACCAGAAAAACTGATTGAACTTGACTGACCCCAAACAGCCCAAAGCCATAAGCCAAACACCAATACAAAGCAAAACAACACCATGTAAAGCCCAATACTTAACCAATATCAAATTGCCTGCGCTAAGAGCAATAAATACACAACCTATAAACCCGTCCTGAACAACACTGAGCTAGCACAAAGCCACACTTAACAAAACACTTGTTGGCTTTGAATATGCTTTAAGAAGATCGGTTCTGACACAAATTCATGCTTGAATATTTTGGTCTCTAGACTCACACAATTTGTTTGCGGGGGCCTTTTGTCAATCACCCCCCCTAGCCAAGCGCAGACGCTGCACCTGACTTTGGAAGCACCATCGTTTCTGATGCAAAGGGGAAATTGTACCAATGAATCCTCAGGAATGATGTGCTCCAGCAACTATCCCAACGCCCCAACGCGCCTCAGGCAATTGCAGCTGCAGTTTGCTGTAGACGGCTGTCAACGCTTCCTGCACGCTGCCAATCGTCCAAGTGCGTCGCGAACCAGACATGTGAGGGGCCTTGTCAAGCGCTTGAACTGGACCCCGGGCTAAAAGCTAAGGAAAGACCCCGTCTGCTATACCAAGACTACTTTCTCATATATATCCACAACCAAGGCCATACAATCAGGGCCATACAATCAAGCATTTTATTTCCATGTTGGTGCTTGACTCATGGAGGCACCTTTTTGGATGGTGTTTCAAGCTTTGAACCAAAACGAAACCCACCATGTTGCGGGGGTCGATTATAATTTAAGAAAAACACTGAGAACTGGGCAAACGATCACAATTTACAACATCGGAATCAGGAATCCCGAAGTGCGCTCACGGGAGAATTCGTTCCACCGCCCCGGACCCGAATGCATGGTCAACAGTCGCCCTGCACTCTGCACCAGTTCTGGTAGTTGTCTCGGTAAGAACCCCCATGGGTATCTAAAATCCTTCGAAAGGGCTCATTACCAGGCCTTCCAGTTTTGTGCGTTCCACAAACACTTCCAAAAACAAATCCTTTCGGCAAACTAGATGGCACTGGTAAAATGACTCGAACCAACCTGCAGCGAGAGCCATCTATTTTCAACCAAACAGAACTCAAGAGGCCGCCTATGCTACCAAGCGCTTGAGCGGTGAACCGTTTGCCCCTTCGTCGCTCACTTCCTGAGTGGCTTGGCCAACAAAAAGTAACCAAACTTGCCGGTGGTCACTAGACTGGTCTACCCAAGAAGTTTAATCTTGAACGTTTTGGATGTGGCTTTCGTGGATCCACCCCTGTAAGATATTAAGAGAGTAGTAAAAGAGTACTACGAAAGGACCAACAGGGGGAAGCACAGGTCAAATTCACAAAAAGCGCGAATCCAAACCGTTTTCTAGAGCAACCAAGCCACTAAGTCAGCAAGTATCCAATTAGAACCACAAAGCCAAAAACCTACAAAACCACCAACCAACCAACCAACCAACCAACCAACCAACCAACCAACCAACCAACCAAGCAACCAACCAACCAACCAACCAACCAACCAACCAACCAACCAACCAACCAACCAACCAACCAAGAAGTGAGTCCTTGAGCGCTTCCAGGTCATCCGTGGCCCAGGGCGTCAGCGACACCAACTCCGAGACCTCCGCCAGCGCAGCGCTGGACACCGCCTGCGGCGCCTGCCCGCGCGGGTGGGCCATATAGTCCCGAAGGAAACGGCGCGTCAGACCGTAGCTTTCTTGGGCGCTCAACACGACCCCTCGGCACAATAGGTTTCTTTGTTTGGTGGGGTCAAGGGAACATCCGATGGGTGTCACAAAAACTTAAAGTCGAAAGATCCGGTGCCCTAAAGCAATCAAGGGTTAAACTTGCCCTAAACCCAAGTTTCAGTCAGGAAAAATAATTTCTTACCCATTGTCAACAGACCCTTGCTGCGGCTCAAATGTTCAAGCGCAATCCGTGTGGCAGGCGCGGGACGGTCCAGTATCAGCCCAGTGAAATATGTCAGCTTTTAAAGGGTCTACAATTGACCGCGCGCACCTGCGCGTCTCGTCGTATAGGGTTCTAGATGGAAGGGTTTTTTTTAAGCGTCCTTGACTTCAAGCGCAATTGTTGCCTGGTAAACCAACCAGAGCTCCGCAGTCCCTAGACCCTTAATAAGCAAACCCTAGGGTTCCTCGCCCCCAGAATGGCAAGGACCCTACTTGGATGATGAAACTCCGTAGGTGAACAATGGTGATACTAACCCCCTGTCTTTCAACAGATTGAACCGCAGACCAAACCCCGGGCCCACGAAGCCCGCTCCAATCAGCACGTGCCGCACTGACGCCTCGCCAGGCGGAGAAAGTTGCCAATCGCCCTCCTCCTGGGCAGCGGTTCAGGGATAGGTAAGCCGCCGGGGGTGACTGATGGCAAAACGCAGGATGAGGCAAGTCGAATTGAACATGCAAGTAGTAGGATATGGCCGGCTTTACGAATCCTAGTAGCTGATCACCAACTGCAATTGCTTCAAGTCTGCCAGACTGTCATCAACCTCTACTACTATGCGTTGCAATTTGGGCATTAGGATTTGATTCGCAGAGCTTCCCCCAAGTTTGCCGAACACTTCACGTCTACCCGGTTGTGACTGCAAGTACCCACGATTTGTTTTTGCAGTCTGGATATACATCGGGTCTGCAACAGGTGGGCATGCAACCAGCCAGGCGGTGTGCTTGCTACGTAAGGCATATGTAAAACGGGTATGTCACGAGGAATATGCAACGAGCCGTCTTGTTGCACAGGGTACGCAACGCGGTACGAAACGCATGTCCGCGGATCTGTTAAACACACCCAGCCAGGAATACCAAACGAGCCCTCCGGCGCCTGCTTGAATCGCCGTGGACGCCAAAAAAAAACCACGAAACTTATTGGTCCTCCAGCAGAGAGGTAAGAACAACCCTTTTTTCTGTAGTCTATTTTAGCAGGGGAACCCTCCCAGCCAAAGGGGTGAGAAAGGGCACCTGGCTGGGGGACCTAGAAACGGCTTGGTCCTCCAGCAAGCGGATGTAGAGCGCTTGTGCAGTGTGCTGCCGAACCGTGGGGAAGCTAAAGCCCAACATCTCCAGCAGCATCTCCTAGTTTGACTCGAATCTGGTCTAGGAGTCTAGGACCTACAAAAAGTGCGGCTTGGTTGGGAGGACTTGTCCTCTTTTGAAACTTTCAACGATTGGAGCTTCTTGCCAAACAGCAAGCAAGGACTCATCTACGCCGCAATTGCTCAGGCCCTGGCCTTTGGTGGTGAGACCAACTCACTGTTGGGGCAAACAGTCAAGGAGTTGGTTTACCATTTGATAGCCGGGGACCTGAAAGATCAGTTTCCTGTTGGAGGAACCCCCGGTCAGGTGCCACGTTGAGAGAGGGTCGCCTGTTGCGGTTATGTGGGCGCGGCCTGCGATGGGGAGGGTGGGGGAGGGGGTCTGGCTTATGTTCCCTTCAAAATAAGACACACAAACATAGTTTTGCGAAGGAAAACAATCCTTTTTGTTTCAGCCTTCCAAAGCCCACCGCCAACGGGGACAACATGAATAGTGGGATGGGGCCACACTCCGAAAAGTTCCCGCATGAACCAGTCCACTGAAACAGAAACTATCCTTGACTAATACGATCCGGATCAATCCAAAGTTCACGTGTCCGATGTTCCAATGAGTCAGAAGGGTAAAACGGAGGTCAACCAAGCCGGTTTATTGGACACACATTCTCCTGTACAATAATACCGAAAATCATACACCATGGTGAGCTCGAAAAGTCTAAAGATTCACCCGAAATCGCACTCCATGTGGCCATGGGTCAAAATCCAAATCGCACCCCCAGTGAACATCCCAATCACCACTAAAATAGGTTCTAAAATGGGTGGTGCACCCCAAAATGGTACCATGAAATTGGTTTTGACCCACAGCCATGTGGCTGTGGGCCAAAAATAGGGTGACCCCCAAAATGGCACCCTGGCAAATCGAAAAAAAACATGACGATGTAACCTCTGGCCCGGTTTTCCGGTGGTTTTACTTCTGACCCACCACCAAAAATCATGTCCCGCGCTCCAGGCTCTGGCGCCGCACCGCCGGGAACCGCAGCAGCCCCACGAAGGCGCCCACGGCACAGCGCAGGCGCTGCGGGTCCCGGCACCGCGCCGCGCGCCGCGCGCGCTGCAGCAGCTCCGAGGCCAAAGGCGCAGGCACCAGGTCCTGGGAACACCCGAAGCTCCAGTTCTCGCGCCGGTTTTTTGTTTTTGTTTTCAAGGGAAAGCCACTCATCTGGCATATAAGGCTTCCTCCTCAATTTCCAGCGTTATGAGGGTTTTGTTTCTTGTTTTTCAAGGGAAAGACACTCATGGGGTGATTTTCTTTTCAAGGGAAACCACAAAAAAAGCGCTAAGCTGTGGTTCCGTGTACAAGAGCCCTTGAGAAGCAAATGTGGAAGATGCAAACCCTCATAAGACTGGAAATTGAGGGTGTCTCAAATTCTACACTTTATAAAGGCTCCTTTATAAGGGCTCATTTAGAAGGAAGCCTTATATGGAAGCCTTATAAAGATTGGGCGGGTTTTCTTCAAAAGAAACCGCCCATGTGGCAGGGTCATTTTCAAGTGACACCAAGGGAAAACCGCTCAGCCATAGCCAAGTTTTGGCAGGTTTTGTTCAAGGGACACCGAAGTTGGGGGTCCGGCAAAAAAGGCAAATCGGTCACAAACCAGGTCCTCCGGCAAAACACAAAGAAAGACAAAGAGATCACAAACAGGACGTATGCAGCACAATCAGCACAAACAGCAAAAATAAACAAGGAAACCTACCACCTGCAAAACAAAATAAGGGTCGGCGGGCGGGCGATCCGAGTTGTTGGGGTCGGATGTCATTGAAAGAAGTTGACTGGGGCCAAGCTCCTGCACGTCGAACAGATCCCAAGCAGAACATGCCAATGACTAGGACCTCCAAGAGGATTATAGTCTTAGACTACCAAGGAAACGCAAAGGACAGAAACGACCAGAACGCTCGCCAGTTCTGGTCGCGGGTTCTGACACATTGCCCAAGATGAATCAAACACTGTGAACCATGTTCCTCATAGACCATTACTCCCTTTGCCTTTAACACATCTGGGCACAATACGATCCCCAAATTTGAAGCAAGGAACGCCTTAGGAAAGTGACCTTCATGGGAGTGAAATCCCCAGCGCTGAGATCAAGTTATGATTTCAGACGCATCTATGCCAAACAAGGCTCGTTCCCTAGATTCCCCCTCTTAACATCCCCAAAAGGAACCTCACTTGAAATAGCTCCAAACAATAGCTGACGAATAAAAACCAAAGATCCAACAGCATAGGTGTCCTTTCATAGATCGCCCTGGTAGTTGATTGAACCACCAGGTAAACCAGGAATCGCCCGGCCTATGTTTCAACCAAGTCAACCAAAAATTGGACGAGCCCTGTCCAAACGCCCACGCTGAACCATGAACCACAGCGAGGCGTGAAGAGTTCTCGTGGCCTCGGAGCAGGTGACTCGAGCGAATCGACTCCTGGGCCAGCAGCAGCGCCCAGGTGTTCAGCAGCGGCGCCAGCAAGCGCTTGTCCCCGGACTCGAAGCAGCGCAGCAGCGCCTCGGATACCTGCAGCTCAACTGCCGAACAGGCTGAAGATTTACGGTGTCGGTCTTTCGATAGCGCACGGTGTCTGTTCGACGCAGCGATTTATTGGGAGGGGAAAAAAAGAAGAAGCCCCCAATCAGTGTGATTTACCAGGTCCTCCAGTAGAGAGTTAAGAATAAGGGTACCAACGTTATTTTTTGTCTATTTTAGTAGGGGAACCCTCCCAACCAAAAAAACGGGAGAGAAGGGCACTCCTCGGGGACCTAGCTTACATCCATTTGCTTAAGCATCCGGGAAAACATAATCATATGTCCAGTAGTGATAGATTCCCTATAAAAACCAACAAGGGACAATTCAAAATGTTATCAAGCAAATGGAAGATTTGCTTAAGCCCCCGGGAAAGAATAACAATCTGTCCGGTTATAGATCTCGCGCGCCCTGAACTTCGAGGAGCTTCCCGCGGGCTGACATTCCAAACGAGAAGTCGGATCTGACATCACGGCGCAAACTGTGGTGTTCTGTGAGAGGTGCACACGCGCCCCCGATGTTGAATCAAGAACCTGTACCCGGATGTGTAGGGGCTTGACAGGCAACAATCATTCCAGCAACCTGAAGTAAGGCATCCCCAAATCAGGGACCTACACTATGGCCTTCGCTCGTCTTACCCTTTTTCACCCGAATCGGTCGAATTTAGACAGAATGAAGCGATATCCTCCCTAAGATCGCTTTTGTACGGGTAGTTACCTGGAGTTTCAATGACCCCTGAAACAAGTGGCCTATTGAAAAAGAAAAAACCATTGGACATGACTAAACCAAGTGGCCTATATATATATATACATATATATATATATATAGATAGAGAAAAATACACACACACACACAAAAAAAAAAAAACATGGGACATGACCCGAATCGGGTCATGGAGACTGAAGGTGATCTCTTTCACGCGGCCGTGACTGCAACACATTTTGGGACCTCTGACACTCTTCACTAATTCACTTCAAAACGAAGTCCTTGACATCGCACGTGGCCCTAAACCCCAACTTTTCACAAAGCACTGTAGACTGTCAACAGTTTCTTGCAACGTTGAACAATATACATATATATATATATATATATACATAATATATCATTGGACATGAAGAAATAATAGGTAATAAGTTTGACATTCCAAACGAGAAGTTGGATATTGAAGTCATGGCTCACGGTGCACGTGTGTCCACGTTTTTGTTGTATCAAAAACCTGCCACCAGGGTGTCCGGAGGTGATCACGTGCAAACGTCTGGGTCGTTGCCTTACTAGACGTTGCATTTGCTTGACAGGCAACAATTCCAAAACCTGAAGTAAGGCATCCCCCAAACTAGGGACATTACGGCTTTCGCTCGTTTTACCTTTCTACCCTCGTATCAGTGAAATCGCTCGCCGATAAATTTGCAAAAGCATGCCCCATGGTCATGCGGTGAGTGTGCCTTGCCATAGGTTACTGGACATGAAAGAGAAGAGGTAATAAGTTTGACTCTGGAATTTTGAGGAAATTACTCGATTCCAAGGAAGTCGAAGACGTCAAAGACGTCCCAAAGCTCGCCTCCTGGCGCCTTTGCTGGGTGTCCAGGTACAGCAGCAGCGCCTTCTTAGCCTCCCGGGCCGTGTGCTCCGTGAGGCCACCCAGCGACACCACCAGGCCCAGCAACATGGCGGGGCGGTACTCGGGCACCGCCAGCCTGCAGCTTCCACTTTACTCTTGTGGGTAACCAGGTGATACGGTGGATGCCCCAAATATTGCAAGTAAGGAACAAAGGAAACCCTGTAAATTCCCATGGTGTGTCGTTGAGTTACTTGCAATATTTGGGGCATCCACCAAAAGGAAACAGACCTTCCCTCCCATGGCAACTGACACGGGTAAGAGGAAAATCATCTAGGTACCCTCCTGTCGTGTGCTATGTTTGGAGGCTCCTGGTTGGACAGCTTCCACTTTACCTTGTGGGTAACCAGGTGATACCAAGTGGCTTCCTCTCTCAGTTTTAAATCATGACTTCCCCTACTACTGTAGTGGCAACTGGAAGCACTGGGGATAATAGAAAGGGCCAAACACCTACGAGCCATGATTCTGGCTGATGATGTATCCTTTTTGGCTTGGACAAGAAAAAGTGAGTCAATCTCCTGGCTTGAAACCGACCATGAAGAGCCATTTGTTTCCTCTGAACCTCCTGCAAGTTTTTGAGCAACGCCGACATCTCCTTGACTTCAGGTTCTACCAAGATGGTCAGGCTCGAGTACTCCCCCATCCAGCCAGCTAGGAACCTCTTCATCCGGCGCTTGAAAAACCTCCCGAGCCCAGCGGCAAGGGCACCAGCGCATCGAAGACCGCGGTGGCACGACGGTCCTCCTGCAGCTCCTGTGAGTTGACCCCTAGGTGTTCGGGGGGAAGTCACTATGCTCAGGGTCTCGATCCCATTTTCACTCTTCTAGAATCAACGACAAGGTCGTTTCCTTGATAACAAGAATACGGCCAGAAAACATGGACCCACTGAAAGCAAAGTTGGTTTGCGGCCCAAAGCCCTTGGGCAAGAATATGGCCAAAAAACATGGACCCACTGAAAGCAAAGTTGGTTTGCGGCCCAAAGCCCCTGGGCAAGAATACGGCCAGAAAACATGGACCCACTGAAAGCAAAGTTGGTTTGCGGCCCAACGCCCTTGGGCAAGAATATGGCCAGAAAACATGGACCCACTGAAAGCAAAGTTGGTTTGCGGCCCAACGCCCTTGGGCAAGAATGCGGCCAGAAAACATGGACCCACTGAAAGCAAAGTTGGTTTGCGGCCCAAAGCCCTTAGGCAAGAATATGGCCAGAAAACATGGACCCACTGAAAGCAAAGTTGGTTTGCAGCCCAAAGCCCTTGGGCAAGAATACGGCCAGAAAACATGGACCCACTGAAAGCAAAGTTGGTTTGCGGCCCAACGCCCTTGGGCAAGAATATGGCCAGAAAACATGGACCCACAGAGAGCAAAGTTGGTTTGCGGCCCAAAGCCCTTGGGCAAGAATACGGCCAGAAAACATGGACCCACTGAAAGCAAAGTTGTTTTGCGGCCCAGCAAAGTTGGTTTGCGGCCCAAAGCCCTTGAGCAAGAATACGGCCAGAAAACATGGACCCACTGAGAGCAAAGTTGGTTTGCGGCCCAAAGCCCTTGGGCAAGAATATGGCCAGAAAACATGGACCCACTGAAAGCAAAGTTGGTTTGCAGCCCAAAGCCCTTGGGCAAGCGGCCCAGCAAAGTTGGTTTGCGGCCCAAAGCCCTTGGGCAAGAATACGGCCAGAAAACATGGACCCACTGAAAGCAAAGTTGGTTTGCGGCCCAAAGCCCCTTGGGCAAGAATATGGCCAGAAAACATGGACCCACAGAGAGCAAAGTTGGTTTGCGGCCCAAAGCCCTTGGGCAAGAATACGGCCAGAAAACATGGACCCACTGAAAGCAAAGTTGTTTTGCGGCCCAGCAAAGTTGGTTTGCGGCCCAAAGCCCTTGGGCAAGAATACGGCCAGAAAACATGGACCCGCTGAAAGCAAAGTTGTTTTGCGGCCCAAAGCCCTTGGGCAAGAATATGGCCAGAAAACATGGACCCACTGAAAGCAAAGTTGGTTTGCAGCCCAAAGCCCTTGGGCAAGAATACGGCCAGAAAACATGGACCCACTGAAAGCAAAGTTGGTTTGCGGCCCAAAGCCCTTGGGCAAGAATACGGCCAGAAAACATGGACCCACTGAAAGCAAAGTTGGTTTGCGGCCCAACGCCCTTGGGCAAGAATATGGCCAGAAAACATGGACCCACTGAAAGCAATGTTGGTTTGCGGCCCAACGCCCTTGGGCAAGAATACGGCCAGAAAACATGGACCCACTGAAAGCAAAGTTGGCAGCTGAGTTGGTTTGCGGCCCAAAGCCCTTGCGCCTCTTGTACCGTCTGAAGCTTTGAGGGGAAACCAAAGTGCTCATCCACAGATTCCCTCGCACCCTTTGCCGAGCAAAAGCACCAGTCAAGCAGTACGACAAACACAAATACGCATCCCTGGTTTGAGCAAAGTTTTGGGTTGACCATCATCCAATTGCTTAAGTCCCCTGGCAAAGGTAGACATATTTTATGTAGTGATAGATCTCCTTCAAAACCAACAAGGGAAAATCACAACTCTTCTGAAAAGCAAATGGAAGGAGTTGAAGCTCATGTTTATGCTAACAATTCTAGTGGGGACTCTACCAACGAAAAAAGGTGGGCTGAGCTGTGCTTCTTTCAACAAAAGGCCAGGGCTGCAGGCGACGAAAGGTCCTTGAAACAACCTGGCCTGGAATTCTCTCGAGGGTCACTCAATTTCCCCTAAAGATGCGATCTGGCGGTGTCCATAGAAACTGGCACTTTTGCTTGGTTGACGTAGTTAAGTGGTTGGATTTCAACCACTAAACCACAATAAGCAAAAAAAATGTTTCCCAACGACAACCATGTTTGGAGGCTCTAAAAAAGGACAATGTTCATAGAAACTGGCCCTTTTCGAGGTTCCAAAGAGGGACATGGAAGAAACCCTGGCTGTTCGAAGAAATTCTACCAAGCTCCCTCGGCTCCTCCTTGCTGGGCTCCGTCACACCGGACACTGACGCGGTTTCCTTGCTGACCTCGTGCAGCTTTTTGCTGGGTTTTGGGACTGCCCAAAGCGCCGTTTTTCGCGGGTCCAAAGCTCTGAGGTAGAGGTTCTGGACGGGGAAAAGGGGGAGTTGTGGTGGTTTGCCCCTTCGGTTCCCTTCGAAGGCATCCAAAAAAACCGATATTTAAGCATTTTTCGGATGTGTTCGGATCCCTCTAGTATTTCCCTAAGAGGTTTCCCTTGGACAGTTCCTTTGGTACTGCATTTATTAAAATGTTCCTCAACAGGGCTCCCTATATTTCCCTTCAACCAACGGACATCACCCCAGGTGATGTTTTCAGCCACCACAGAAAATCTACCGGCACCCGGGTCCCAACAACTGCTTTTCAAACTATGCCCAAAATCCCAAGAGAATTGTTGGGAAGTACGTACTCCAACCTCCAAATTTGGGTGTGTCTTGTTTTGTTGGGCACCCTGTGTGGTTTGGTTCGGACCCCGAGAAACCAACCGGGGGGGGGAAATAGGGAAACATATATTGAGCGCAGTAGTTGAACCCATGATTTTAAAAAAAATAATTTCTCAAAATAGTCCATAAAATATTAAATAAGGATAATACATCATTAATATTCATTAACCTTATCTGATTCCTTAAAATAATTTTACTTCATATAAATATTATATAAGGTTAATAAGTTACTCTACATATTAACCTTATACAATTTTATGTAAAATATATATCAATAAATAAAATTAATGTTAATTTTGTTCTGCCTGTTTCATTTCTAAATGTATTTTATGCTTATTTGTTTTAAGATGTTGCTTTTTTAAACATGGAGAAAAATAACAGTCACAAATATCACACTGAATTTTTGTACTGTTCCATTTTCTATTACTTTCAAGTGTTTTATTTCTATATTCATCATCTTCTTCATATCTTTTTCTTCGCGACAAAAGAAATAACCAAACTAAGCAGCTCCTCTTTTTGTTTTCTTTCGCCCAGGTTGAGGTGCACGGGCAACCCTGCTTCACAACCTGCTACGGGAATATGTGTTCTCAGGCTGCGTGGAAAACACAAATGTACATTGGCGTTCAACTCAAGCTGAAATCAGCTCATTATGCATCTGCAACAAGATGGACACAAGTATCACATCTCTGCGGACTGAAGGTTTCATGCCAGAAATTTCCAGCGCTCACTTTATTGATGAACAAGCCTGGCCACACTCAACAGAATGCACCATTGGAATCATAATGGAAGGATGTTCGGCTGATTGGTGAGAGGTGAGGGTTTGTCAAACGCATGTCCAATGCTGTGTTTGCTGTGACTGCGAGCACATTGCGCCTGTATGTGTTTGCAAAAGTTCATGAGTGGTGACTAGTGCTGTTTGCAATGGTGAGTTTTTTGCTGGAGGTGCCTGTTGGTCGATTCGGTCAGGGTGCTGGTGAGGGTGCTGGTCAGGCGCTCAAGGTGCTCCAAATGGTGTGGTGGTTGCTGGCGGAGTTTGTTTGGCGATGCACATGGGGTGCCGGTCAGGCTGTCGTGGGTCAGGGTGCTGTGGTGGCGGTGCTTGTTCGGGGGTGCTGGTCAAGTGCTCCAGGTGCTGTGGTGGTCGCTGGCGGTGCTTGTTTGGCAGTGCAGTCAGGGCGCTTGTCAGAGTGCTGGTCAGGGTGTGCCGGTGGTCAGGGTGTGCCGGTCAGGGTGCTGGTCAGGGTTCTGGTCAGGGGGTTGTTGTGGATGATGATCAAAAGCTTGAGGTGCTGTGGTGGTTGCTGTTGGGACTTGTTTGGCGATGCAGCCGGGGTGCCGCGCAGAGCGGAATGCGAAACATCCAGCACCTTCTGAAAAAGAGCGAAGATAGTGATCATAATCATTGGCTATCTGTGGTCTATGCTGGTGTAATTTGTTTGCGCGTTTGATTGATGGTGCGCGCAGACGCTGCAATTGCATTTGCTGCTGCTGCTGCTGCTGCTGCTGCTGCTGCTGCGCGGCAATCACTTGGTTATCGGTTGGTAACACAGTTCGGTAACGATGAAGTCGACTTGTTTTGCGTCTGCTGTCGAAGAAACCGCCAACCCGGGCCTTGTAGCGTCGTTGGCCAAGCCCATTTCAAGCGCTCCTGCCGGAACAAGCGTCAAACGCAAACCTTCCCGCTGAATCGGTTCGGCTCATCACTTTTGGGAAAGCACGCAGCGTTGCCCTTGTGAACAAATGTTGGGCGATAAACTGTCTTCCTGCACATGGCTCAACTTGTTCAGACGGGATGCCCCACCCAACAAAGGGACTCCCTCAGTAACAAGTGGGGGCTCCTCAGGGGCCTGCAATATGGACATACTTCAATGGCTCAAACGCCTGCAGTGACGCTTAGCCCTGGATACGTCACATCACTTTGGCTGGGTTCTTCGAAGTGGCATTCGCGATGTGACACCTCTATTTTACAAAGCGGAAACTAAGTGCGTGTGTGTGTAATAATGTGTTTAAGAAGCCATAAATAGGATGAACATGATGAACAAATGCGTACCAGTTGTTGTTTATCAAATGGTTTTGCACTCCTGGAGGAGCGCCGAACCCACCAATCTGATCCTTCAACTCAGTTGAAAAAGGAGAGTTTCAGTATGGCCGAACTGTGTTCCTTTGACAACCCTGAAATACGGCTGCGATGTTAGGGTGGTTTAGTGACTTATACTATCCCGGCTAGAATAGCGTTTTTGCCGAGCAGGGCTGTGATTGGGCTCTTTCTTGTT